AGCACTGACTTTGGACTGGACATTTTTTGTGAGAGACACCCGGTTGAGAAGAAAAACAGAACTCGCTGAAACTTATGATTGACTTGAAGGCATGGCAGTGCCTCAAGATAACAACGAGTCCACTCAAAGACTCCAAACGTACAGCATGCCAGCCGCAAAGGAGATCTGTGATCTTTCGTGTCATCCTGCATTTCTACATATATGTGCAGTGTCCATTCAATCTATACATGATGTTCATACAAACCTGATATGATTGCTACATGCTGCTACATCTTGCCAGAAGAACCAACCATACATTGGGAACCCTAAGAGGTACACGGTCGTTTTTCATTAACACAACGTTTTGCAGGAACTTCAAAACGATCCCTGCGTGGCACCCTCGCCTTCCTTTTTTGCAAATATGTACAGAATTTGATAGCAAGAAGCTTTGAGGTTACTTGAGCTCCTGGGACGAGAGGCTGCAGAGGAGAGCCTGGAAGGCTGCAAGGAGACATCGCTCATCTCACCAAGCACTCCCAGGCTGCCTTGCCTTAGGATAGGGATAATGGAAAAGAACATGGAACCTACTATAATGGGTTATATAAGGATCATGGGGTCAATATTGGGGTTAGGATCTTACGGTATGGAATGGCTATCGATTTGAGGCGTTAAGGTTTCAAGGATTTTGGCGGTTGGGTCGCTGATCCAGACTAGAAGCTCCTTTAAGGTTCTAGGCAAGTCGCCAAATCAGTGAGGTGCCAGAGGTCTCAAAGGAGACTTGGCTGGGCGTCGAAGCTTCCCAGGCATCGCCTTGCCATTTGGACCGCGCGCTTTTTGCTGCAAATTTCTGCTCCCTGCAAAGTCCAAACAGAATTCGCATAACCCTGTTCTGAGTGCTTCAGCTCCCCTACTGTAGGCATTCAGGCTCCTGCAAACTTGCTGGTGGTTAGTTGCAAAGGATGCCCAAAGTGCCTCGCTTTCTCCTCTCCTATATTGGTCCCTTTAACTCATTTCTTCATCCTCAAAGCTTCGCCTCGGCTCCGAAGCTCTAAACGCCATGGCCTCAGACAGGGATCGTCCACAGAACAGCTGTTTTTTTAGGGACCCTAGGCGCGTAGGTTTGTCACTTGCATGGCTAGACAGCAGCGTAAGGTTTGGGGGTTAAGGTTCCGCTGTTGGTGCGAGAAGAGGTGCGAAAAGAAATCCGCATGACGCTAAGTACCTAACTCCTTTGGAAGAGGTGGCGCTCCAGGGTATTTCAATCATGCAAGATTTTCAATGTCAACGAAATCTCTGTGATTTCCTTCCGGCAGAATTCCACGTTGTCACCGACAGTTTCCTACAACTTCCACTGCTGCTTCCCTTCTGTTGGTTCTGTGCCCAACTTCAAGGGAGGAATGCAAAACCTGAGGCCTGCGCTCGGGTGGGCTCCTCATGGCTGGTGTCCGGAAAGCCCTTGGATGGTGTCAGGCTTGCGGTCTTTGACAGCGTTTCACCAAAGCTTCTGAAAGGGTTTCTTGATAGTAGTCTAACACACTCTCGGCACCTGATAGCAAAAAGTGCTTAAATCAGCTGAAGCATCACTTGAAGAAAGAGCTGCTGCCCAGCGTACAGCGCATCCCAGCGAGCCAGGTCCAGGAAGCATTCGTTCAGTTTTGTACCTCGCTGCCGCCAGGCTGAAGGCGTCCCCTGGAAGTGGCGAGTTGCTGGCCTTTGCCCGAGGGATTCAAAGAGTTCCATGAGGTCACTCTGAGCTTCCAATGCTTGAAGCACTCGACTGTCTGCTTCGTTGAGGGCAAGGTCCAGGAGTGTCTGAGCTCCCAGGCACTCATAAGATGTTGGGAGGAAAGCCGACAGACCTGCAACTCCTCGGCTTCCGCAGCTTACGGTGGTGGGAAGCGTCAGCCGGACAAGGATCTCATTGCTGCTAGAAGGAAACGGCGCCGGGCCATAACCGGAGCGCCCAAACACCAGCAGTTGCGCAAAGCCTTGCGACATTTCCCGTCTCTGCCAGAAAGTTTCAAAGCGGAAAGGTCCACTGAAATGAACGAATGTTTCATTCTCATCTTCACCGCTGAGCCGAAGCTCTGCCATGGGCCTACTGGGAAAAAAGGCTGTGAGCGGCCGAGGCAATGCCAGATTGAAGCTTCCAAACTGCAGCAAATCCCTCACTTCCGTGACATCTGTGGAGATGTCAATGACCACCACGCTGCGATGCAGGCCAAACGCTTCAGTGCGGCAGACGAAGCCCACCACCTAGCGGGATTTCCATCAATTCAGGGTGCGATCCCCATGTTCGCAGGGAATACCTGTGCATTACAACCCCCCAAACTTTGGGTGAACACTTTGTGAAGCCCCCAACCTCGCAGGAAGGGACATCCCAGGCCTGCATGGGCAAAAGAAGAATCCGCAGGCTGGCGGAGAGGTTCACCAAAGGCTCAAGGTCCGAATAATCCCCGAACTCCAAGACCAGAGTGATGTTGATTGGGAGATCTGATGTATCTTCCGAAAGCTCAAAAAATTGGCTGCGCTGGGGTAGGTCGGCGAATTTCACCACACCTGGGCGCAAAGCGCGCTTTGAAGCTTCTTGCGCTGTTACAGGCACAGATAGGACCTCCAGACCTTCCTCCGTGGAGCAGTTTTCTTTTCCTCTACAAACAGCCACTATCTCGGCAACTTCAGCTCCACGGGCGACTTCCTGGCTTAGCTCCACATTCAGAACCAGCTGGAAGGAGCAGGGCTCGTTGTCACATGATGGTGCCAGGAAGTCTCCTGACCTGGGATGTCGTGAGAGGACGTTGTAACATCCTCGTTTCAAAGCCCACCCACAGTTGTCAGACTCCCCTGTCAGAATTTGTAAGGAAAACTCTTTCATCGCCACAAAGAGCATGAAACCTCTACAGAATCCCTGCATGGACGCGCCACAACCACACGCTACGCGCCAAAAGAGCCCCGCCAACATTTTAGAGGCTCGGGCCTGAGGTGTAGGGAAACTTGCGGGATGCTGCTATTCCAGGAACACCCCGTGGTGGTTGGAAAGCCGCTTTCCATCTCGCTTGCCAAGTCCAGGAACCAGAATCCACAAGGTTGCCTCAGAGGATTCTCCGGTAGTTCAACATTCCCTGGAAGCAAGACTTTTTACCCCCCCCCCCTCCTAGCACTGTGCTACTATGACGGCGAATCCTGCTATGAGTACCAAGAAGTCCATGAGTTGGTAGCCCGTGGAAGGACGCTATTCAGCCAGGTTTCTGCTCCAAGGGTTCCTGCAGCTGGGCTGTTCTGGGCCAAAGCGCTGCTCGAAAGCCTCGGCCGGGATAGGACTCTACATTTATTACTGCACCAGCCTCTCATAGAGGCGTGTTTGCGTCCTGCAGCGTGGGGGATGCATCATCAGGGCAAGCTGCCCGGATATTGACCGTAAAGCCTGATGAAAGTTAAACCATAGATGCAGTATGCAGTCACCATCAACAAAAATGATGTCTGCTGCAACAAGCAGCGGATCTGTAGCTCCCACTGACCATCAAACATCTCCACATCCTGAAATGGGGTGGGGAAGGCGCCAGGAAATTCCAGAACAGCGCAAAAACATACATGATGAACATGACCGCAAACCATTCATGGCAATTCTCACGCTTGCAATTTGAGGAAAAGTACAGTAGAAGCATCAGCGCTACAACCAGATGCAGGAAATTATTGTTGAACTACCTTTGTTTAGGTGTGTATGTGTGCGTCTCTGAAAGAGCAAGCATGAGTCCTGCAGTCCAGGGTTGAACAGCAGCAGGGCTGGTGCCACACTGCCCAGCGCAGGGCTTGCCAAGTCCACGGACGCCAAGGGACCTTGGAACTCAGGCACCCGCCCAACTTTCTTTGTAAGAAAGCATAGAATATCTTTGTAGGCACTTCTGAAAGTTCAGGGATAATGAGGGCTTCTTCTAGGAATCCCCTGCAGACACTCAAGAAGCCAAGGCTTTCCAAGCTGCCGGTGCTGTTGAGGGCCACCGCGCTAGCGAAGCTTGCCAGGTTGCAAAGGACTTGCCACCAAAGCATGGCTGCGACAGGAAAACAAACATTTGCAGAGACCTCTTGAAAGCCCAGGGAAAGTATGCTGTTACAAGCCCTTTCCGCCCTGCAATTGCTCTCTCTCTCTCTCTCCCTCTTTCTCCCTCTTCTTCTTGTTCTTCTTACTCTGTAGGCAACACGCACCCTATGAGGGGATCTCTTTCTCTTCTCTTGTTCCCAAAATGACCCGAGTGCCAGTTCAAGCAGCCCTGGAGTCCCTTCAAGATCTCTGGAGCCGCAAGTGCTGGTGAAAGGAACGCTCTGCTGCAAGTGGGCGCGTATAAACTCCTGACGAAGCTGGAGCCATGATCTGTATATGATAAATGACTCAGACCTGAAGAATTCCTTCAAGCCTCCCAGGTCGTCCCCAACTCGCCCTGATGAGTACATCTGACTGGAGCTTGCCTTGAAATCCTCCAAGGCTTTTTTTCTTCAGAGGCTCGCAGTTTCTGCTTCCGGGCTTCTGAATCGCCGGCTCAGCCTCACCACAAGACCTGGAAGGGAGCTAAATTCCGCAGCTACAGGGCAGGCTTCCTGATTTTCCAAACTGGCATCCATGTAGACATGCATCAACTCCAAAAGACACATTTGGCTTCTATGAGAAAAAAGGCAACGGCAAAGGCACAACATCGTGCCTTCAGGGCTTGCCCCGGAGCGCCGGGAAGCCCTGCGGCGTTTTTTTTCCTCCGAAGGCTGGCCTGGAAGTGCTTTGCAAGGGGTGCAAGCTGATGATGTGGACAAGGATTGCGATTGTGCTATTGTCTCCCTGAATTGTTAGGATTTAACATCTGCTAGCCTTCCGCCACCTCACCATACCTCCATGACTCAGATTGTTTGGGAGAGGGCGACAAAAGCGTTAACCCGCCTCCCTACAACCCTAATCCCCGGACCCTGAACCCGTGAATGGCTCTCAGCACTAAGTCACCATAAATCCCTTCAAACCCTACAATGCCAGCGCGCCGTTAGAGGTCGTCCATATCCGCCCGCCCGGGGTCGTACTGCGGAACTAGGCCTGGCACCTGCTCAACTTCTGAAATCGGCGTCTGGGTGTCCCCGCAGTTTCAGGAAGAATTCCAAGGGGCAACTTAGCAGGTGGGTCGCCCCATGTTCAAGGTCATGGGGTTACATGAGGTCTCTGTGAGCCTAGCCCACCCGGAACTCTCCTTGAGGGTTCTGCAGGAATCTTAGAGGGATGCTCATGGGGTCTGTGTCCTTGGTCAGGAACTGTGCCAAGACCACTCTGTTTAATGGGATTCTTGGGCCCTGCATGCGAAAGACCCATTTGTGTTTTGTTGCTAGCCGAGACTTGCATGACCATTATCGTCAGCCTTCCTTTTGTGATTAGGAGAGTGATTCTTGTAATGATTCTTTTTGCAACTATGTTGCTTGCGTTGTTCTGGCTGTTGGAATGGGACATTGCGTGCTGTGACTATGCGATGCTTGCAGGAGCAAGGTAGCCTCACTCTTAGCCACAGGAAGGTTAAGACGCAGTTGTCTTCTTGTGGATGTGTAGCTCAGGGCCTTTCTTTAGTTGGGAGGCTCCTGATAAAGGAAATAATCAGACTCGCGGTGGGTGTCCACTGCCACTTACTTCTCATTGCTGCAAATCGCATCGATGTCCAAGGGATTCTACTTCAGCCATCTGTCATGCCAGCAATAAATTCCGCTCTGCCTTGAGCATCGTACAGGAAATATCTTCCAAATCAAGGTGACAACGGACCACAAGTAGCTACAAGCCTTCACCAGTCAGCCCTCACAAGCACCTGCTGTATTAGGCACGCAGGAGTGGAGGACTCGAAAAGTGCCTGCATCCTCCATTGTCGCTCCAGCTGCTGCTGCTCGTCCTGTGCTGCTTTTCGATCTGCCTTGCCAGCGTCAGATCAATTGTCACAGCAAGGATGTCATCCTGGCAGCGATACTTATATCACGGTGCTCAGGGTCTGCCAGGAAGAGGGTCATTAGCCGCTTCGATGGTGACCATACAAACATAATGCTGGAACAAGTTATGACGAGCTTCACGTCGTCTGTTCCTCTGCCCCTTTTGGCAGGCTGCGTCCCCCAACTTCTTCCACTAAACAAACTTTTCCTAACGGATAGCCTGCAGTCAAAAAAGACATGCGTCACGGAAGGCAACCTCCAACTGTTAAGCAGAACGCCTCGTAGAGGGCTGATTCATGGCTGCCCCACTCCTGGCAAAAGGCAGGCGTGAAGTGACTGCGCAAAAAATGTTCCCCCTTCACTGAGGCCATAAGGGTGGGGGTTTTCAAGTTTTGAACCCTTTTGATACAGCTGGTGGAGATGCGAAGGATGAAGAAAAAAAGACAAGCATGTCGCAAGATGCCCTGCGTGCAGAAGGAAGCAAGTGCAAGCTGCGAGGGTGTGTTCAGCCCGGGCCCAGTCTGCACAATAGCCATTTGCACGCTGAAGGGTTGCCACCTTTAAAGTATTCTCATTCGCCTTCTCTACAGTATGGCCCACATTGATCTTCCAGTAGTAGAGCCGCATATATCGCATAACTCCAAACCAAGGTGTAACAAATCCTTTGCTATCCAGTGCAATGCAGCGCCTTCAGCTGGATCAGAAAGTCACGGATGTGCTGCTGAAACCTTCCGAGGACGGAGGCATCAAAACAATGGATTCTTTGGGAGAGGCCAGCTGGCAATTGTATGATAGCTATGGTTAACAGTACTAGCCAGGCTTTTGAACATCCGCATCCTGAATGAGGCGAGAAATAAGGTAGTCATGACAATGCACATGCTTTTTATACAGGAGAATCTGTCTTGTGCATGACAGGCAGAAGGAGACCCCTAAAATCCTCAACAATGGTACGTCCCGAAGCCTGAATCCTATACCCCCCAAACCGAAACAAACAAGAACAAAGACAAACAGCCCTCCCCCTACCCCAAGCCAACTTACATGAAACCCCAGTGGGGCGCCCAGAAAGGCGACGGTCCTCTAAAAAATCGAACGAGTTTCCATGATAATCTTGGAGGGAGGGCCACTTCCAAATGGATGGATGCCCTGCGAGGCCCTTACTCGGCTGGTTGGCGCGACTTATTGAAGCAATGCAGCACAAAGATCTCCGCCTGCACAGTCTGGCAACAAGAGAGGCACAACAAACACTCGGTCTCCTACCACAACCCCTCGAAAGCAGAGAGGTTCTGGGAGAAGAGCCACAATCTCAAGAAACCCCTAAACACCAGTACTTCATGGGCTTTCCAATGGCATGAGCTCCACATACAGGTTTCATGCGAAAGGGGCAAAGAGAAGCCCCGGATGGTGGAATCAGGAGGAGAAGCAAAGCGGTAGAAGTCAGGTAGCTTTCCAAGAAGATCATCGGTCTGCCTCAACTTCAAACTGATGATCATGCACGGTGTATAAGAACTGGCAAACATCTTATACATCTTAGCAAGAACGGCAATCATGTTCAATTCCCGACTGACCTGGCTCTTGTTCAGAGTCGGGAAGGACCTCACGCTGTGAGGCGCTGAGCGAATGGAGGCTTTGGGAGAGACCCCTTTGTGCTGGGACTGCCCGAGAGTAGTCCTGGGATCAATGCAAGGATTATTCGGAGCTAGCTGACAATGTGGCGATCAAGCAAGATTGATTGCAGCCTAAAACTTATCCTGATAATCTTGACAAGCTTTCCTGAAATCAGGAACTGCAAGCTCAGTCTGTGCTTCCGGCTTGCCAATGAGCTCGAACAGGAACCTCACTGCGCATCTCGAAACCATCACCACAGTGGGGGCTATTCGGCTATTTCAAACCCAATCGGAACAAAGGAAAACTCCCTGACAGTACATGGTAGTTTTCCTAAAATTGGCAGACCCCAAATATACACCTCAATAAAACTATAGTCCTTACTACGGAACCCCCAAAAAGCAACCCCTAAGTCTGGGAAACCCTCCACATGTGTTCAGCGCGCAGCTCCATCACCCGCTGCTTTGGCGCTGCATCGCTGAGCATTTGATTCTCTGCCGCAACAATGAGCTGCCTGATCATGTGAAGTTTCCTCAAAGGTAGGGGCAACTAGAACGGCTAGGGGATAGGGTGCTCAGAATTAGAAGGTGGACGTCTTCCCTTTTGTTTTTTCTCTTTTTGACTTCCTCACGCCCCTGTCAAGCGGGATGAAGAAGAACATTCGAGAACCAAACTTACTGACGGAGTCGGTTGCGAGGAGAATCAATAACTGCGCAAGCCGCAAGCCTTCAAACCTCATTCGAAGGCCTCAAAATGAACAACTGCTGAAATAGCATATCTTCGGCACCCCAAGCAGAAATTCTTTAAGCGATGAGATAACAAGCAAAGACAAAACCACTCTTGATGATTCCTTTTAAGATGTGGTGTGCTCTTGGGGGTAGGAGATGAATCTACAAGTTGAAGAACTGAAGAACTAGGAGCACTATCCCGAACATTTTATCTGGAACTGTCCCAAGCCCTCTGGTCAGTCCTTGCTGCATATGCGTTGTTTCCTAAAGGTACGTACCTTCGATACTGCATTTCTCCCACCCCATTGCTGACAAGAGGACTCACGCATCAACACCGATAACGGAAGCCTACTATGCTGCATCGTCTACGCACCAATGCAGAAGCTCTTTCTGAACTACAAAATCATCATCGCAGTGCTTAGAAGCCCATAGAACAGCATGGATGCAGCCCTGCGGCAGCAAAATGTGCTGCTGGAGTTTGAAGCCGCTCTTGTGACACGTGTCCGTTAAGACGCCGATCACCTTGGACTGCGTTCATGTTCTCTAACTCAAATCAAGTCACAATAATATGGATATAGAGTACAGGAAAGAAAGCCCCTTATTATAGTAACTTACCTCAAGGTCCTTGATAGCAACCCAATAAATTAGCTGAAGGGTTTGTAGTCCAGAGTTCCAGGCTTTGGCATAGGGGTGGGTTCGAAGTTTGGCGGCTTTTTTGAGAAGCGTTTGAAGAAATTGGGCTGCGAAGAATCATGACCCAGAGATTTGGAAAGGTAGAAGCGGGACCTTCACGTCACCTTTCAGTCCCGACTGAGAAGCCGACAGACTGAAGGATCAAGAAGTAGTACTGCTTGAAGAAAGGAACCTCAACAACTCAGAGGCACAGGTATAGTCCTCCTTAAGTAGATAGAATATGGCTTTGGGTATATGATAATAAGATCCCCATATACCCCATATTCTATCTACTTAAGGGGGGCTTTTGCCTGAACAAGATGCAAGTGGATGATCCAAGCATCTAGGCGAGCTCGTCTGGCCTGGGGTCCCTGCATAAATGGAGCTGGGGCCATTGAGAAGGCGCTCCAAGAATTGCGACAGGACCTGCTGTTAGGAATATATGATAATATATTATAGTATACTTTAGTGATTATTATATATTATAGTATATTCTGGTACATTATAGTATATGATATAGTACATTATATGAGTTGCCCTGGAAATCCTCAGACAGAATCCCTCAACAACCCAGATGGAATCCCGCACTTGATTTTCCAAATGGGACTACCAAGCCCTAAAAACTTTCTGGCCCCTTTCGGGTCCCAGAAGTTCCCCTCAAAGATAGACCGTCATTTGTCAGGACACCCCAAACCTTGTGTATTGTGGAGTTTTATTTTTAGGGACCCTGCAAAAATCTGTGGCCCACCCATTGAACCCACGCCCTTTCAGTGCGGATTTCGGCCTGCAAGCCGCTGTCCGCCACTTGGGGCTGCTCATGCTTCATAGCCCAAATCAAGGACTCCTGAGGGATCACAGAATTCTGGAGGGATCCTCTTGGGATTGCGCAAGGCGAGAAAGGTGTTGGTGTTTCCGTTACATACCCCGCCTATACGTCAAGAAAGCATCCTAACAAACAAGTTCCACCTGATCTAAGTTCCAGGGCTCCCACCACGAAGAGGATGAGCTGTGCCTCTGGTAAGTAGAACAGGGCCTGGCGTGACACAGTGATGCAAGGAACTCTTCTCCTGCGTACAATACGAACACCACCACAAGTCTTCGTCTGAGCCCAGCATGACGTCTAAGGCTGCAAACTTGACAGACCACGTGTAAACAAGACTCTGCCTGGAAGCAGTTTGCATTGATTGCCTTGAGCAAGTCGTAAAACTTCACCCTGCCAGCACCCAGTGGCTATGCCAGTTAGTGCTCAGGTCCCATGGGCAACTGAAGCAGTGGGGCTGCTGGTGAAGAACGTGTGGAATGCTGGCACGATTCATGCGCGCAGTGGGAGTGTATGTGCAATCACTCCCTTTCCAAGCGACAGCTTTCTTAAACATGTGGCACGGCAAATGGTAACCGCGACCAAATTTTCTTGACTTTGCTGGAGCCATCTTTCCCCGACGCTAAAGAACTACATTTTCCTACTTGTTTGGCTGGTGTTGGCATGAATTCGTCAGCCTCAGACGGGGACAAACGCCTGTCCAGCAACGGCAATGTCGTAGGAAGATGCAAGGCCTGTGATCCGGATAGCTCTGGAAGTCGCCCTTGATCATGTCACACCTTGCTGTAGCTTTGACACAAGGCACAAACCAAGAATCAGACCCCCCCCCCACTACACCCCGCACATTGGGGCTGTGCGTGCTGCAGAACTTGCCTGACACAACACTTCACCAAATTGCCGCTGATCCTTGCATCATAACATCAGCTGTGCTGCTGTGGACCCTTCTTCTGATTCTGAGAAGCTGCCATGCTCATAGCAGCCACAGCAATGAGAGACGTGAACACGTCCTCTTCTTTGTAGATTGCGGCCCGTTGACATGAACTTGCATGAATCACAGAAAGAATATCGTCCTTATTTACCTGAACCCTAAGCCCTACGAGTTTACGCTGACCTTGCAAGCACTGAGACTTGCGCGTGCACTCAAGGACCATCTCGAAGATGCGGCCGACCTTGGGATTTTAATATTCAGGACATTAGGGTCTTTCCATGTAGTCCTGAACATCAGGACCAACACATTCATTTGGGATTGTAGAAAATGATTTTTAACTCGCTCATATGATGACGTTTAGAAGTCATGATATGTCCTGATCATTCTCTTTGATGCTTCTTTGCTATGATCATGATCAGAGAACTTCTCAGAGCCAGACTTCTGGAGAGATGGATTCCTGAGATGTCGGGCGCAAGCTTGGCTGAAAAGTTATGACCCCCCCCGGGCCCCTCCACAATGTTTCTGCAAAGCTCATATTCTACCTAGGGCTGCGTGGGCGTCGGTTTCGGCAGGAGGCTGGGCCCAAGAATTCTTCAGCCAAGTCTCGTGTATCCTGGTTGCTAGGACAGCAAGCAAATCCTTGGCTCCAAAAATGCAAAGAAAAGTAAGAATGACAAAGCCTGCAATGGAATGCCACTGACCAGATTCGCAGGGTTACGGATTAGAATTGGTGCCAATCTAGATGATAGCAATGCTTGCTATACGCATGAGGTCATATTCATGTCCGCAGTAAGCATAGTATTCACATTGCGCTCACGCAGGTTTGAGACAGTCATTGGGCAAGTGCTGGCCAAGTCGCTAAGACTTCTGCGTCCCGGGCCTGCTCAATGACTTTTTAAGCTCTTGAGGGAACAAATGGAGCTTTCAGATTCAGGACTCCGCTGTTCTCAGAGGCAGATGAGCTTGTAGTTGCTGGCACTCTCCCACGCTTCTACCCAAACTCTAAACCAGCGCAACAAACTACCCCACAACGTGCCCAAAGGTCTACCTTTGATTTTGGATTTGCCTTGTGTTGTGGACAGGCTTCTGCCAATAATCCGCATCTGTAAATGACATGGGAGACAAACAACATTTTCTAGAACATACTTTTGCATTTTGCGTTTGCACCTAGGTTCATGGCCCCTTGAAGTGAAGGACCCCATAGCTCCCACATTGCCACGAAACAGTTTTGGGGCTGCCAGCTCAACATGGACGGGGCAGGGTGTGCAGAAGTGGTATTTGCTTTCACTCCCGCCTTGCGGCAGAGATCTCTGAGGATTACGAGTCCAAGACTTACTGCCATTTCCACATATGGGTCATCTACTGCAGCTGCACTGGGTATGAGGCTGTCTTTCAGTTCGGGTTGTATCAGGAAAGTTTGAGTCATTCGGCGGTCAGAGAAGTTGTGCAAATGCCTGTGGCAGCATCAGGACTCTAGCTTGGCAACTGATGGCTCCATGTCATGTTCATGAGGCAACTGACACCCAGTGTCATCACGATGAAAACAATAATTACATCTGGACGCAGCAAAGACTGGCGCCTGTGGCATGTTACTGCGGTAGTCGGCCAACACCGGTTCCTGCGGGAATCATTGCCCACAAGTGTTGCTCCGAACTACCATGACGCTACCTTCAGTGTCTCTTAGGAATGCATACGACTAACCGCGAAAATTTCGTTCCGTTGGCAACGGAAGATTTTCTTCGGGCTACATTGATCACTCACCATGTGAACTGCTTTGCTGTTCCGGTGTTCTTGTGTGATTGAAAGAGCTGTTCTGAACCCAGAAGAGCTCCAGCAGGGGCGGCACGAAGCGCTGCGCAATCCTTGGTTTCTGATCTTTGAGTCCAGTCTAGGGCCCTACCGGGTCCTGGCATCATCTTGTTCTGACAAAAGTGACATTATACCAAACCCGAAAATCTGAGCGAGGAGGGACCCCTGATACAAAGGCTCTAAACACGCATTGCTTCAAACTGATGTCTTTCAACCCTCAACTCGCAGAACTCCAAACCGCAACCCCGCAATGATCCTAAACGCCGCACCCTTCAAACTTTTAACTCATATGGGTGGTTGTCAAAATTGTGGTCCTTTTTTTGGGTAGCCTAAATATTCGGTGCCGCTTTAGAGTAGCGATCCAAAAAGCGACCATAATTTTGACAACCACCCATATTCCTGAATCTCTGCAGCCCACATCTGGGCGCGCTGCGTTGCTGGAGTTAGGCGCATTTCAGCCGCACCCTGGGGCGTGGCGGCGTCCACAAAGGACCGCACCAACCGCAGAGTGTCACCTCAACAGCGAATTCTTCTTGACCATTGAGTTTTCATGTTTTTGAGTTTTGGATGTGGGCTCTTGTAATTCCGAATTAGATCATTTCTCGCTGTGACAACAACGATTTTACTAAGAATCTTACCTCCTTTTTTTTCTTTGTGGGAACATGACTTCGTTGTTGGTGCTGCAGCACGCCAAAAAGACCCCTGGACACTGAAAGGTCGGAATATGCGGACGAAGCAGGACTTTCTTTCTGGGATTCTGTGGAAGCCTTCTCTCATGATCCACTTGGATGCTGTTGCTCTCTTTTCTGGTTGCTAAACCGTCCTGTAGAGGCCTGATGTCTCTCTTTGCGGCCGCGTTGCGCTTCACATTGCGCAGTAAACGCACCTGCCAAGCAACAGCGAAGGGAGCAGGACTCCATTTTTGGGGGATTCCTACAATCAGCTGTACAGCATCTTGCAATACAGGGGCAACCCCATCAAGGGCAAATGTGACCACAATACTGATGCTTTTGCTACAATGGAATCAGCAAGCTTCCAGCCTTCAGGGTATAGTCCCCCTTAAGTAGATAGAACACGGGGTATATGGGGATCTTATTATAATACACCCAACGCCACATTCTATCTACTTAAGGGAGGCTATAAATACTATAAATGTTAGACGAACCACCCAAATTCAACTTCAACTCCTCAAATCTCTAGGTGTAGTCTGAGCCCCAGGCATTCGCCAGGTTCATGACTTGTGCACCCTGCTGCGAAGTGCTATGAGAAATGAAGTCGCTGCAGACCTTCAGGGCTTTCAGCTGGAAATCCCATCACTTTAGAGGAAGGCATGGAATCTGATTACAAGTAACTCCCTGGTGCTTAGGAGGGAATAGGGGATTATTATTGGGGATTGTATAGGGACTACTATAGGGATCCATTGCCCCATTCCCTCCTAAGCGCCAAAAAGGTATTGTGGACAATGATCCCCACTCTCCAGTGAGGTTAACCTTTGCCGAGACTTCCATCAGCTGATCCATCCCTCCAAACGCGGACCTTGTAGATCTTCAGCATGTCGCAATACATGCCTGACGCTCGCAGTGCTCCTACCCTGTGTAGCTAATGGAGAAACAGATCTTCTTGCTAGGTAGTTTCAATGTAACAACGCCTCCCAGTCGTCATCCTCAAATAAATGAAATTAACAACACGAAGCCTTCTTACAGTTACTTCAGCTCCTGCATTCAACTCTGATGTGTGCCCTGTATAGATGCTTTGAATTGATCTTCCATTTGATTTTCCTTTCCTCAGTTCGTACACTGCACCTCCCCAAAACCCTATACCAATCATTCAGGCTCATACTACGGCAGCAAGCGCCAAATGAGGCGTGCCTAGTTCGATGCCTGGACCATGCAAAGATGCATTTTCAGATGCAAGTGCTTCAGTGCTTCACGTCAATTGAGAATATTGTGCTCTAGCATGTGCTCGTCACCATGCTATCGCTAGTAGGAAGCACTACTCAGATGAACAGAGGCTGGCCATCCGTTACTCTCGTGACAAACAATAGCTGCAACAACAGCGTTAGAGAAGAAGGTTTAGGGTTTCAGGAATGGAGGGTTCAGAGATCGGGGAATAGGGTTTTGGAATTGGGTCGAGGGTGTAAGCAAGAGGGGAATGGAGCTTAAGAACTACAATAACCATGCACGAGGTGGCTGCAATGGAAATGTACTGAAGCCCAAACCCTAGACGCGAAACCCCACATCCTGAACCGTTGCAGGAAACCCCAATGGAACCTTCGAGCTGAGCATGGCAGGCGGTGCCAATGGCAACAACCATCCGTTCATTCACTCGCAAGATCAGCGAGATGTCACGCAACACCTAGCAGGGCATAAGCAAACGGATCAAGAGAGTTTGCAGACAGGATTCAAGGAAGGGGCGGGGTCGTGGCGTAGAAATGCATTTCAACTCCCTCGTGCTTAGGAGGGAGTGGGGGAATGGATCCCTATAGAAGTCCCTATATATTCCCCGGTAATAACCCCCATGATCCATTCCCCCATTCCCTCCTAAGCACCAGGGAGTCAACCCGCTGCCGTCGGAAAGCGAGGAGCCAAGCCTGCTGGTTCTGGACAAAGACTTCCAAGGATCCCGTCGCAGTGAGTCCTGGGAGCACTTGGGTTCCTCACCTTGCTCTATGGTAGGTCATCAAAATCGTGGTCCCTTCCCTAGTGTAGGAAAGAGGGACCAAAGTGTTG